ACATCTGACTCTCAAGCTTGAGGGAGGGAGGGAGGGAAGGAGGAAGGGAGAGAGAGTGTGTGTGAGAGAGAATGTGAGTGAAATCTCACGGGCTTTTGAAACCTTAGAGTACCTCCATTCTTGACACACCGCCTTCAACAAGGCCATACTTCCTAATCCTTCCCAAACAGTTGCACAAACTGGGGACCAAACACTCAAGTGTGTGAGCCTATGGGGGCCATTCTAATTCAAAGACCACAGGTGGGCTCTCTCATGCTCGTACATGTTGTCTTTCATAGGTCCTCGCCAGAGCAGACCTTGTTCCATTTTTCGTGTCCTTGAGTCTCCAGCAGTATGAGCTAAATAAGTTATTTTCCTATATAAAGTTACCAAGCCTGAGAAATTTAGCTATAGTAACAAAAATGGGTGGATAAAAGAGTCAAATCAATAGGAGATTTTGCATACAAAATTGCTACGTCTAGTAACACATACTTGTAATCTCCATTACAAGGAGGCGAAGGCAGGAGGATTTTGAGTTCAAAGCCAGTCTGGACTAGATAATGAGATCCTTGTCTCAGTACGTAAGCAAGTAAACAAACAAACAAACAAACAAAACAAGCAAACACCTCTCATTCTTAACAATGCATTGTTTTATTTTTCATTTGTGTGTGTGTGTGTGTGTGTGTGTGTGTGTGCTTGCGTGCACACATGTGTGTTTTGTGTGACACTGTTCCTGGGGAGATGTGAAGAAATTTCTGCTGACTCCAGATAGAAAACCAGTGACAGACCAGACCAAAGTATGGATACCATTACAGTCTAACTTGGTGAAATGACTAATTTTATTGGAGTTACTCATAGGAATGTGGGTGAGAGGTTACTTATAGGACCCAAAACGACTCAAAGATGGCTATATCACCGAAGCCCACTGCAGAATGAGAGCTGGAAACCTGGGCCACAGCGCAAAATCTACAGCCACCCAGCAGGCTAGAGGGTGTCCTTCCCAGGTGGTTCAGCTTGCCTGAGCCTCTTTCAGAAAGCTTGCCTTGTCTGAGAATGACTCTGGACAGTCTTTATTGCTTATATACGTTGCAGAGGGAGGGAACTAGTACATCTGCTCAGTTTCAGGGACTTCCTGATGCTAATTTGAGTTGTACAATTCTGTTTTAATGGGACATCCGTTTAGAGTGCACAGTTTCACCTCCCCTAGCTGTTTCAACCTGTTGTTTCACTTCCTTGCAAACATTCTGTCCTAAAAGAACATGTTTCACTCTTGCTTTATATCCTGTGTTAAGAGTTCTCCCTGTAACATAGAGTGTTTTAGCTTCAGGAGAAACTGTTAGACAAGCGTGTGGTGCCATCTTCATAGGTGCAGCAGATACTTCAAAGTGAGACTAATAAGTCATTGAACAAGTGACCCATGTATGTTCAGTATGGAAGGATGATTTGCAGACCTGGACCATTTTTTTCTTTTGAGAGGCCTATGTTTGGCTCATTTCCCAATTTCACAGTGGCGTTAAGATCTTTCATGTATACTTTGGACCAGTGGTCCTCAACCCTTGTAATGCTGCGGCCCTTTAATATAGTCCCTCATGTTATGGTGACCCCCAACCATAAAATTATTATTATTATTGTTACTTCATAACTGTAATCTTGCTACTGCTATGAACGTCATAACTAATTTTGCTACTGCTAGGAATCGTAATATAAAGTCTGTGTTTTCTGATAGTCTTAAGTGATCCCATAAAAGCGCTGTTTGATCCCCAAAGAGATTGCAACCCCCAGGTGGAGAACTTCTGCTCTGGACATTAGCCTAGTCCTCATTCAGATGGAATAAACATTCTCTTCCATCCTGGAGGCATCTCTGCACTCTGTTGATGGCTCCCTTTACTGTGTGGAAGCTTTTCATTGACATAACCCTCTGGCCAACTCTTGCTCATCACCAGTATTTACAAGGCAGACAGACAGAGCCTTGTACTTGCTGAGTGAGTGGCAATCTGAGTCTCATCACTGCCTCCAGCCCCAGAAGATTCCTTCTCCTCTAACGTGTGGATTTGACACCACCTGATGGCCGCCCAGAGAAAGTGTCTTGCTGAGTCCCTTGGCACTCACTCCCCCACCCCCCAGGGAAGCACATGACAGCTCTGAGGCAGAGGATTGTGCAAATGGGCTGCCTGGGAACATTGTGTAAGGGGAGGTGAGAAACGGGGCTGTGTCAGCAAGGGCAAGGGTAGTGACACTGGGCAAGGCGTCACTTGCATTTGCATTTCTGAGGACGGTTTCTGAGAATCAACCAGCAGACCTGTGTGCCAGGGAGGAAGTGCCCTGTGCCCTGGCTCAAACACATGTGGTTCCACCTACGGGGAACGGCAGCCAGTGGGGTCCACCCTGCGGAGTTTCCCAACAGCTTCTTGCTTTAGGTCCTTGAGACCCACCTGTGGACAAACCGCAGCAGGTTGCACTATCAACAGGATGTTTTCTGGCACACAGCTCACATCTTTGTAAAAACAGTTTTGCTAGCTATCGTGGCTGTGAGTTAGAAAGCCCCTGTGAGCACTGAATCAGTGAATGCTGAGCCACGGCTCCTTTGGGAAATGAAAGGCGATATTTCTGTGAACTTCTGACCACATTTTAATCAGACAGTTACACACCCACCCTTGCTTTCAGCTTCTGTTTAAAGGCACTTTTTTATTTAGGACTTGGATATTGATGTTCACACTAAACAACATTGTAATGCATGCCTGAATGAAGCTTATATGACACGAGTCAGAGAGCACTCGCGAGCGTGCGCGTGTGTGTGTGTGTGTGAGAGAGAGAGAGAGAGAGAGAGGTATAGTATAATGTATATGAATGTATGCATCTACACGTATGCGTTAGGTTCATGTGCATGTGTGTGTTTGTAGAGGCCAGAGGGCTGAGATCAGGCGGCTTCCTGTCATTCTCCGCCTTGTGTTTTTGAGTCAGACGCTCTCACTGAAGCCAGGTTAGACAGGCTGAAGAGCAAGCTCCAGAGCTGCAGCTCTGAGGTTATAGAGGTTGCCAGGCCCGGCTTTGATTTGGGTGTGAGGGGTCTGAACTCAAGTCCTCAGCTTTCTGGCTCAGACCTCTCCCCAGATTCCCTTTTATTAAGTTCGTCCTTTAGCGATCTCTTACATGTATATGGTACAGTTGATCCCCCCCCCCCCCATTATCTCCCTCCCATCCCATCCAATTCCCTTTGTAGACTGATGTATTTTTGTTTTGTTACCCACTGAATTTAAGCAGGGATGTCTGTAGGACCACCGGGTCAGAACTATCCACTGGAGCCTGGTGGATTTATCAGTGGCTACTCAATTTAAGACACTGACTCCCTTCTCCATGAATCTATCAGGAGCCACTAGTTCGTCAGGATGGGGTAGGGCCCCATGAGTCCCTCCCTGATTCCTATCTGGCTGTTGACGGGTTCAGTGTTGCATAGGCCCAGAAGCAGCCTGCCCCAGCTGATACGAGTTCATGAATGAAACCGTCCTGTCCAGAAGATGGCATTCTTTAGCCCTTTATCCTCTCTTCTGGCTCTTACAATCTTGCAACCCCCAGTGGGCTTTAGAGAGAGGGGTGGTGTAAATGTCTTGTTTATACCAGGGAAGGTTTCTTGAAGCTCAGGCTGACCTCCAGTTTAGTGTGCCTCCACCCGAATGCTGGGATGACAGATCTGTGCCAGCATGCTTTTTTTTTTTTTTTCTCGGAGACACATCATGACCTTTTTGGGTTAGGGACCTTAGACAGTGTTTCAGCACTGCTCCTGGAGGACACCTGACACGGTGAAACCATTAACTAAAACCACGAGAAGTGCAAAACACAGGGCGCCACATGGAATCAGGGGTCACTTGTTCCCCGTCAGCAGACTGAAGGAAGGAGGAAGGGCCTCTCCTGCTTCATCCCTCCTGGGGGGAGCCTGTGGAGTCAGAACGGCTGGGAACTTTCCCTGCTCTGTGACTGTCTGCAAATGACCACATAAATATCAGTGTTGACCGGTGGTTACAAATTTTTTCTTAGTGAGGAGGGGAACACACAAACAGGGGATCTGGTTGTTGAGACTCAGCCATCATGTCTTTACCTTGGGTTGGGGCTGGAGAAACGGCTCAGTGTTTATGAGTGTGTACTGCTCTCGCGGAGGGTGGGAAGTCAGCTCTCAGCTCCCATCATGGGCTCACAACACTCTATATAACTCCAGGGATCCGACCCTCCTCCGGCCTCTGAGATCAACTGCACAGCCCTCCCAACACCAGTACATACAATTAAAAGCAAGCAAAAACAGACAAACAAAACAAAACAAAAAAATCCCCACAATTCCACGCTGATGTGGAAGTCTGAGCTCTAGGAAACTCTTTTCAGGTTAACAGTGGTTGAAACTGTGAATTCAGATCCAAAGTGAGACTGCAAAAACCACCCTCACCTCTGTCTGGGTATTCCAGGCCCTGGGTTGAGAACACACGGCTTGGTTCTTCGCTGTTGTTCAAGGGTACTGGAGCACTCAGGAGGAACTGAGCTACGACTGGATGTGAACAGGGCCACTCAGCGTTCAAAAATTGTGAGCTTCGCAAGGGCAGCGGCCGTATCAGCTGCGCTCACTAGGCTGCAACCTGCCTAGTCCAGGGCCTGGTGATGTTTGTGGGGTGAGGACAGAAGACGGGGTCAGAGGCATTCTGCTAAGAGGGCAGGCCATAAAGCCATGGATGAAGATCCCGTGTCACCTTGGGTAAGTGGCTTAACTTCTCTATGCCTCAGTTTCCTCACCTGTAACGCGGAGCTGTTAGCAACAGCTTGTGTTTCTGCTCACCGGCCGCAGCAGCGCTACAGACCCACTACCTATATAGTCATTCAAGATAGGTGTGTCATTGTTATTTTATAGGCCTGAGAGGCTGAGGTCAGAGAAGGGCAGGGACCTGGCCAAGGCCACACGGCTTGGACCCAAGCACCTGGGATTTGAAGCCTAACAATTTGACGGCAAGGAGACACTAGGTTTTACTGTACTACAGTTGGTGCCTAATAAATGTCAATATATTTAATTGTAGTTCTGCTAAAGGCCTTTTGGAGGGAAGGTAAGTCAGAGGGGAGGAAGGGCCATCTAGCTCGGGGCATCCTCTTCAACCGCCCGAGCCCAAGGCTAGAGGTGGTCACTTGGCTGTGGTATTGGCTGGGCGGCGGCGAGGGCCCCACTCGTTGGCCACGCACTGCGCCTGCTCATAGCACACCTGTGGGTGACGCTGGCGTAGGCGCAGGCGCACCACATCGTAGTCCACGTCATGTCCGATCCTCTTGCAGTTGAGGCTCCAGGCGAGGTTGTCGTGCGTTGAACGGAGGTCTTCTAAGTTCGTTTCCATTTGCAAGTTGTGGCGCATCAGCTTGTCAGTACCCTGGAAAGGGAGGAGGCAGCGATCTTGCTGGGAAGGGCGGGGCCTTGGCGAGGAAGAGGCCGGGCAAAGCTGGGAGGGGCAGATCCTGGCAAAGGAGCGTAGGGCCTTGCAGGGAAGGGTCGGCTCTTTAAAGAGATACAAGGCTGTTGTGCGGAGGATCAGACTTGGGGAGAAGGGCCGGGGCCGCTCCGGGGAGGGACGCAGGCGTTCTGCAGAGGGTTGGGGCTTTTAGGAAGTAGTGGAGCTAGCAAAGTCTTTCTGGGGAGGGTCGCAGCAGTGCTGGGAGAGGTGGAGCTATTCTGGGTGGGGCGGAGCCGTACTGTAGGAGAAGGGGCGGGATTGGTAAGGGGCGGGCTGTGCTGGGGAGGAGTGGGATCATGCTGAGGAGAGGTAGGTTAGGGCTCTTGCTGGGAAGGGGGTATTCAGTGCTGGGGGACTGGCAAGCCAAACCCAGAGCCTCGAGCTGGTGCTGTCTGGGGCAGTGTATAGTAGATGTGAAGAGAGACAGGATTCTAGGCAGAGAATTGGTATTAACACTGGGGCCAGGTGTGCACCAGGAAGGGCCCGGCCCCACTTGCCAAAAAGCATAGGGGAGAAGGTAGATCTCTGTTTCAGGGGTCCTGGAAAAAAAAAGCTGCGCCAGGTTTGCGAGAAAAACAGAACAAAACACACACAACACTGACTCTGAGGGAGGGATGTGCGTGCAGCAAGACGCACCGGGAATGGTGGACCACATCCGAGCAGTTTATGCAGAGTTCTCGAGTTGGGTTGTTGGGAGAGTCAGGCAAGGAATGGCATGGCCTAGCAACCCGACCGACTCGAAAAGTCTGCCCGCAGAAGCAGATCTGCGGTAAACAGTTCTTCATTGGGGAAGGCACTGTGCCAGGATGTGATCACACGTAGGGGGCGTGGAGGGGACGTACCTGGGCAAGGCGTGTGGCCTCAGGGAGCTGGGTTCCCACGTGTCTCTGATACATGCGGACCATGGGTCTGTTCAGTTTCTCTCGAGCCTCCAGGTCTCTTTTCAGCAGGGGACCCTGGAGGAGTGCGTTGTGGGGAGCAGTGAGGCTCCAGATACCAGCCCCTCCTCCGCCCCTTCCCATAGGTTATTCTCCCTCAGACTTTACCTTGATAATGCCCCGGGTGACGTACATCTCTTGATTGAATTTCATGCACCGGTGGAGAGTACCTCTCATCAGCCCTAACGTCATGGTCATCCTTTCCTGGAGACGGGAGAGCGCAGGGGTCTGGCCCTGGGCCACTGTCCCCTCCTTCCCCACCCACCCCGGCAGCAACCACCCTCTGGAGCCTAGCCAGTGTGGCACCTTCAGCTCCAAGGTCTCCCGCATCTTCTGGGATAGGCTGGCGCATACTCGGTCGCTTATATCCTGTTGTTGATTTCGAATTTCCGCCTCGTTCTTTGCCATCTCTGCTAAGGTGTCCTTGGACTCCATCAACAAGCGCTTGGCTTCAAACAAGGCCTTAGCACATGCTGTGAAGACAGGGCTTACGTGGGGGCACCTCTTTGTCTCCTCCCCCTCTGCCCTCTCTATGGTGGTGGTGGGCCAGGGGTGATGGGCCATGGATGACAGACTGGGAGAAAGCCCAGGGAAGGGACAGGAAGTGAGGAGAATTCAAACTGTGCCTCCGGTTTACTTCTTTTTAAGTAGAACTTGTGAATGAATGGGTGTTGTCGGAAGTGTCCAGGGAGAGAGGCCAAGCAAGGCTGTGTACTTCAGGAACAGCTGACTAAGGGAGCTGTAGTTTTAACAGACACCTGCCTGGGGTGTATGTGCCAATGGGGTCAGGGGGAGGCGTTTTCTGGCCCTGAGTTCGAGGAGTTGGGGGTCGCGTGATGTCCACCCACGAGTGGCGGCCAGCCTGCTCCAGAACCTTGTCCAGCGGCTGGTTCATGAGTTCCACGGCTTGCAGCCTTTCCTGACAGTAGAAGTCCAGAGTATCCCTGCAGGAGGCCAGAGCCTGGGGGCGGAGAAAGAAGGCAGAAAATAAGATTGGAGGTTGCCGGCAGGGCTGAACCCTCAGCCAGCAGTAAAGCTGACTCAGCTCATTGTTGTACTGAGGCCCCGCTTCATCAAAGTGGAAGCCTTTTTGCATATGTATATCCTTGTAAACACACCTCTCGCCTAGATTGTGTAGAGTCAGTAGCCCACGAATTTTCCTGGAGCCTCTGTGCCTACTCAACCAAGCTGGCTTGTTTTTGAAGGGGTTAGCCAACTACGGCCCATAGACAGGCAGCCCGCGTCAATTTTTATTTTATTATTACCATTAATTATTATTAATTTTTGAGACAGGGTTTCTCTGCGTAGCCCTGGCTGTCCTGGACTCACTCTGTAAACCAGGCTGGCCTTGAACTCAGAGATTCACCTGCCTCTGTCCCCAGAATACTGGGATTAAAGGTGTGTGCCACGACTGCCTGGCTTTTTGTTTTAATCAGGCACAGTTATAAGCCTATTCCGGGACACACTACACTGGGTCTGGGGGCCTCATGCTGCTCTGGACGGCTTGAGTAGTTATAACAGGGCATACAGAACACAAGGCTGAAGACATTTGTCCTCTGACATTAAGAAAAAGCCCACTGAGGACTGCTAAAATGACTTAGAAGTAAAAATACCTGCAGCTAGCTAATCCCAATGACCCGAGCTCCATACCCAGGACTCAGACATTGGGCAATTCACCACTGTCAGTGATTCCGTCTGTATGAATTGACACCACTGGTTTTCTAGGGGCCCCTGCGCTCCATGGACAACCTCCTCTTCCAATATACACACAATTAAAAAGAATTTACAGAAATAATCCCGTGATGAAACTCATTGTGTCCAACTCCTGGTACTTTGAAAAAAAAAAAAAAAGTCTTCCCTACCCAAATCAAGTCCCTACTGTGTGCCACAGATTGGGGATTTGGTGCTCAGCTATCAGGAACAAAATGGTCAGATTCAGTTCCCACCAAGAGGAATCTGTAGACAGGTTTGACTAGCAGCTGTCAAGAGAAGAGGGCTGCTTATGAATTTACTGTTATTTTTTTTATAAATGTCTTACTAGTATATATTAGTTTTACACAATGAGTATCCTTGTGACATTTTCAGAACTGTGCAAAATGTACTTGGACCATAGCCATCCCCACCTAGGTCAGAGCAGTTTGTGCGCTAGGCATCCTGGGGTCCCTCTCCTGGCACCCCTAACCTTGAGCAAGGTCTCTGATTTTTCCATGTCTTTTTCCATTTTTCTCTTCATGATCTTCAGTTCCTGTTTCTCCCATTCAAGCATCTTGTCCGCCTTGTCGGGGATCTGGAAAACAAAGGGAGAAGGGAGTAGAGAGGATTTTCTTTCGGAGTAGAGAGGATTCGATCTCCCTGTGAACTGTTCTTGGACAAGTTTAATCAGACTCACGGAGACTCACTGATCTCTCCAGGAGGTCCTCGTGTGCAGAGGTTTGGGTCGGGGATTTTTTTTTATTTTTATTTTTTTAAATGTCTATTACTTGTTGACTTGCTAAGGATGCTGTGTGCGGACTTTTTAAAGTTAGCTGCTTGCCCGAGGCGGCCTGCCCACTGAGCTCCAGGGATGCCACCTGTCTCCAGTCATCAGTGCTGGGGCTGCGAATTTTCCTCTGAGGGAAGATTTTCATGCCCTGTGACTCAGGGGTCTACCGTCCTGGCCAGGGGGACTTGTAACGGTTTGTCTGTTGGAGAAAGGCACCGGGGTTGACCTTTTGGAAGCAGCCTCACGGGAACAAAGATATGCTAAAGAGACGCGTAAGTCCTTCAGCCTGACTACCAACAGACCCCAGGAAACTGGAATTCCCCGCAGATATCTCCTGCTGGGAGAAGGAAAAGGCCTGGTGCCGGCTGGAGGAGGAACTTTCATCCCAGAAAGGGGTTTCCCGTGGTGCTGACTGCTGGCTAGAGCGTGTGTTGGAGAGACCACGCAAAGACCAAAGGTCAGAGATGGGCGAGACCACGCCCTAACTCTGGCTGCTTAGACGTGCGCCGTGGCTCCCTGTTTAATCTCACTCAGGACAGCGGAAGTGGACTGAAAGAAGAGGGTCACTGGATGGATTGTCCCTCTTCGCCATGTGGTCTCATTGATTAAATACCTTTTCTGCTTTTTATTATTAATTTGGCTGTTGCATTTGGCTTATAGTGGCCAAACGTGGTTTCTTGGAGGCACAGATTGTGACCTCAGTTTCACTAACAATTTTTTGGAGGGACTCAGGCTCTGGAACTTGCAGGGGTAGCCACCCTCTCCTGGGGGTGCCCTTTCAGGAGACGGAGCCCAGGAAACGTCAGCCTCTGGCGCGGTGATGGGGAGGGTCGCACCTTCTCAGGCTTGGGTCGGAGGTCCCGCAACTTGACGCTCTGCTGGTTGATGAGCAAGCCCTTGCGCACCTCGCTGAGCCTGCGGTCGCTGGCCTCGCGCTGGCGCAGCAGCAGGCGCAGCTGCCCATTGACCTGGTGCTGCGCGCGGCCCAGGCGGGCGGCGGTGAGGCGCGCCCCGCGCGCGTGCGCGTACACCACCTCCGCCGTTTGCTGGGCCCGCGCGAGGCGGTGCATAGGCAGCGGCAGGCGCGCGTGCCAGGCCGGGGGCTTCATCTTCCCTTTCCACAGGGTGACGCCCTCGCCGGGCGGTGGCCTCTCCAGGGTGCCGCCGCCTATGGTCATCTCCACCCGGAAGCGCCAGGGCTCCATGTAGGCAGCCCGGCCCAGGTGATGCGCCACGTTCGGGTCCAGCACACTGTCCTTGGGCTGCCACATGGTCACTGCCTCCTGGCCACAGCGTTCGGTCAGGAGGTGCGCCTTGCGATACGTGTTGAAGGCCTCCTGGCGCCATTCGGGAGCCCCGACCCGCGATTCCTGGGCGCGGTCGGCCGTGGGGAGCAACACAGGCATGTTTCCTAGCTCGGTACCCGGATCCGACCCCGGGATCCCCTTGCAGAATGGACAGGGGTCCACCCACCCCTGAACCACACACCGCTCTTTCGCGGTTGCTAGAAGAAGTGCGCCAGAGCTCCCCTCACCATGGCAACGGGGACAACCGCTGACATTGCGTTCCGGGCTGGGGGAGGGGAACAGCAAGCTGGAGAACCCCTGCCTGGAAATGCAGTTCTTCTTCCTTGAGGAAGCCGCTCTTCTGGAGTTCCTCCCTCCTTGTTTCTCTTGATTTTGGAAAGATGTCAACCAACCTATCCCTGCTAGCTGATGACCTGGTCTTGCATTTGGAAAATCCTAAGGAATCTGTGAACTAGTACTAATATTAGTAGTTTTGAAGTACACACAAATGCCGTCCATATACGTGTGTGTGTGTACCACACAGAGTGTGTAGGTAAGAAGACATCCTGTGGCATCATGTAGGTTCCGGGATCAAACTCAGGCAGTCCGTTTTGGGGACAAGTGCCTTCATCCGAGCCATATTGTCGACCTCCACTTATGTCTTTATACCCTTGGAAGGAAAAACAAACAAACAAACAAACAAAAAACTGAATTAAGAATACAATTTTGGGCTGAAGAGATGGCTCAGTGATTAAGAGCACATATGGCTCTTCCCGAGGACCCGAGTTCGATTCCCAGCACCCACATCTGGTGGTTTACAACTGCCTGTAACCTCCGGGAATTGACAGCTCTGTCCTCTGTGGTGCTTGCATTCATGTGCACATACTCCTTACGATTCCTTGGCTGGGGAGATGGCTCAGCTGGTAAACTGCTTGCCTTGCCAGCACAGGATTTGAACTTGATTCCCGGAACCTACATGAAAACACGCCACACTGGCTTGGTGCTGGGATTGTAATCTCAGCACCGAGGATGCTAAAATGAGGATTTCTGGCTGGCCATTAGCTGAGCTACCCTTGGGCAGCTCCTGGCTAAAGACCCTGACTTAAAAAAAATAATAGTGGAAGAGCTATCTAGAGACAGACACCTGAGGTTTCATGTACCTGCACACTCATACCTTAAACAATGAAGCACAATTCCATTTTTAATAGCATCAAAAATATTAAAATATGTAACTGTCCCCAGCTCTTAGGACATTCTACGTTCTTTCTTAGCTTGAATTCAGAACTCTTTCCTTTCATAGAATTCTCCTTTGCTAAGTTTGCGGCGTACTTCTTTTTGGTCGTCAGAACCCAGCTGGTGTATCTTAAAGGAGCCTTTCTCTACGATGACCACTGTGAACTTTACCCTCCTATCACAGGACTTCTGTCCCAATCTACAGAAACTAAAAACATGATGTCTTAGATGACAGTTGAAAAGAAAAAAAGGAAACCACCCAAGCCAATCAACAACCAAAGCAAACAACAGAAACCAACCAACCAAAAAGATGAAAGAAGCAAGACTTGCCAGCATCACCAAACCAAACACCCAAACACAAAAGCAAAAACCAAACCAAAACACATTAAAGAAAACCAAACAAATAGAAAACCCCTAAAACCTTCCTCCCTGAACTGATTCACCTTTTATCTCCAACTTCAGCCCCAACCACGGAATTTTAGCCTCCTTCATTATCTTTGTGTTCCTCTGATGTGTTAGGTAGTTTCTGCTCCAGGGACTTGCTCTTGTTACTTTCCCTCTCAGTACTTTAAAATCTATTTGAAGTTTGGTATTGTTGGCCTTTGTGCTCAGATGGGAAGGTGCCCAGGAGACCCACAACTCTGAAGCCAGGGAACCACTCAGCTCCGAGGGTAGGACAGTGTCGCAGGAAAGGGTTCCCTGAGACGTGGGAGCCCAGGAACCGCACATCCCTGGGAGAAGGCCTCCTCAGCAGAGGGGTTGCAGCTTCCAAGGGAGGGTTTCCCCAACCTTAGCTAAGCTGAAGGGCTCAGGAGACTGAGCCCCACTCCTTATCCAGCCATTGCAGTCCCCAAGGGAAGGTTTCCCTAACCGAAGTGGAGCTGAGGAACTTGGAAACTAAGCCCGCTCCTTTGCTTCTTCTCTTATGTGAGTCACACCAGGCAGCAAATCTCTTCAAAGGGATTTATTGGAGGGGCAAATCCAGGAGTTGCTGCCTCTGCTTCCAGGATAAGACAGCAGAGAACTGAGCAAACACAACTTTATATAGGATTTTTTTAGGGGGTAGAGCTTTCTAGGGCAGAGATTTCCAGATGAGGATTGGTGGGATTTCAAGTCCTGAACTTGGGGGCACTTAGGGATTGGTGGGTTTTTGTTCAGACTTTCCACCTAAAATTACCATAAGTCTGAGAACGGTCCAACTGAGGGGCTGGAGATGGCCTTTGTGACAGAACTGCCATTATGACAGAGAGGTGTGGGGGAGAGGCCTATTGACTCGTCTCAAGGGGTTTACACGGATGTGAACTCTTACGTTAAACAAAAACAACCTTCCTTTACTAAACTATGAACTTATACTAAGGGGTCAGATTCCTGGTCCTAGTCCCTGGTTGGCAGTGTCAGACTGTAAAGCTCCCTGCTTTGGAGGAAGGACTAGTTTATACATTGTTGCCACGGAGATGGCTTCGGAGCTCACCGTCTAGCTCCAGTTGGACATGTCTCCCTCCCTTGAGTTCCCTGTCAGCAGCAGCCACACTGAGGCCCCCTCAGGTGCTGCTGCTTTGTCTGTGGCTTCAGCTTCTCAGTTTCTCCAGACCTCTGATCTCAGGTCGTGGGGGTTGTGGAGAGGTAGCCTCAGCTGCTCTGGAGTCCTGAGGTGGTGGTCTCCAGGGAGTAAAGAGACCCGCAGCACAGCCTGAAGATCTGAGCACCCCTCTCAGGGACCACAAGGGAATGGCAATCAAGGGAGCAGAAGAGGGGGCTCCTGGGAAATGATGAAAGGGAAGCCCAGGAACAAAACTTGAGGCGGCCTGGACTGGTTGCTGGAGCTCCTCAGGTGGGGGCCTGGACCCTTCCCTGAAAAGTATACAAAGTTTACAAAGGTTAGTTAACAGGCATCTATGCTGGATTGGCTACTGTTGTGTCCCTTCTTTTAAAGGTTTAGTCCTTAGTGTGACAGCAGTAGACACTTTAAAAAGTGGAGTCTGATAAAGTGTGGTTAGATCACTCGGGCTACCCTGGGAAGGGAGTAATGTCCCTCTCAGGTGATCTTGACTAGCTCTATTTTTTTTTTTAAAGATTTGTTTTTCATTATGTGTATGTATTTGGACGTGTTCGTGCCTGCAGAGGGGGAAGAGGCAGTGGGTGTCCTGGAGCTGGAGTTCCAGGTGTTTGTGAGTGGGTCCTGGGAGATGAACTCAGGTCCTCTGCGGGACAAGATGTCACTCTTCCCCACCAAGCTGTATCCCCATTCACTGAATGAACCTATGAGCGAGCACTTCCAAAGCCAGGGGCTGCAGAGGGGGTTTCAGGAGAGGCCGCTCACTTGGTGAGGCTTTTTGTTCTCATGGCCCATGTCTTACTTTTCCCTTCTTTTAATTTTTCAGTTTTTGAGAATTTCACACATGAAATGCTGCATTTACATAATTTCCAGTCCTCCCTCTCTCCCAACTCCTCCATGCTCCCTCTCGAATTCATGACTTCCTTATCATCTACCCCCTGCTGATTGTATTTAACATTGCTTGTATGTACATGTGTTGACGTGAAAGCTGGAGGGCCAGAATTCTTGCCGCTACGTATGACGGGGAAGCTGAACTCATGAAAATATTCTCTTTCTTTGATTTTTTTTTTTTTTAAACTAGTGGTTGAAAAGATGACTCAGAGGTTAAGAGTGTATACTGCTTTTGAAGAGTTCAGTTCCCAGCATGCACATCTTGTAGTTTACAACTGTCTGCAACTCCAGATCTAGGGACTTCAACACCCTCTTCTGGCCTCCAAGGGCACCTGCACACACATATGTATAGACCCTTCCACCTACAAATACATATAATTAAAAAATACAATCTTATAATGTGGAAATCGGAGGACAACTTGTGGGAGTTGGTTCTTTTCTTCCAGCATGTGGGACTCGGGGATCAAACCTGGGCTATCAGGTTTGCTAGTGAGTGATTTCCCCACTGAGCCACCGTTCTAGCCTTGATTCGTCTTTGTTGACCAGAGGGATTCAGTAGGCTGAGTGCTGCTTGCTGAATGTGGACTAGAATTCTATCCAAATGTCAATCTACCTGAGAGACACTGTCTTAGTTAAGGTTGTTATTGCTGTGATAAAACACCACGACTGAAAGCAAGATGGGGAGGAAAGGGTGTATTTGGCTCACATATCCTGACTCACACAGTCCACTGAGGGACGCCAAGGCAGGAACCCAAGCAGGGTAGGAACCCGGAGGCGGGAGATGATGAAGAGGCCATGGAGGGGTGCTGCCTCCTGGTTTGCTCTTTATGGCTTGCTCAGTGTGCTTTCTTATAGCACCCAGGACCACTAGTCCAAGAATGGCACCACCCACAACGGACTGGACTTGTCCTCCAGATCTTATAAAGAGTTTTCTCTGTTGAGGTTCCCTCCATTCAGACTCCAGCTAGCCTGTGTCAAGTTGACATAAAACAAACCACAACAGATAGCCACAGTTGTGTTGGGCCAGGCCTGTGGTTGAGAATTTTGGCTCTTACATGGCTGCTGAAACTCATTAGGATGGTGGATGTGGGTATATGCTGATTTGTGTTCTTGTTCTTAGAAAAATGTTACTTTTACTAGTCTATTAATTGCACAAAATAATGAATTTCATTATGATACCTTCATAAATATATACAATGTACTCTGATCATATCTGCCCTCTTATTAACCTTCCTTGTCCCGCCCCCACTCCCACCATATGTCTTGTCTTCCTCTTTCCCATCATCCCCTCGTGACCAGCCTGGCAGGGATGCAGTGTTCTAAACAGACACCTGTGCGCCTCGTTCTGACTAGGGGACTTTTGAGACGATGGACCCCGAGACACTGGAATATCTCTACTCCCTGAGTCTCGTTCAGGGAGAAGAGGAAAAGCCTCAGGCTC